ATTTAACTCATTTATAATATTTTAAATAATATTTATAGTAATTATTGAGATGTCGAAAACACTATGAACTCTATTGAAAGATACTGAAAGTGACATTTTACTCTTTGGTTGTCATGGTTAAAACATTATAACAAACTAAAATACTATAATAGGTCACTGTAATATATATATATATATATTAGAATACTTCAGATATTTTTTAATTAGGGATACTATTAGAAAATAAAATAAAATTATGGGTACTAATTGAGAAATATTTAAAATATAAATTTTTTCTTAGAAATTTACTCCTAAAAAATTACTTTTATATATAAATATATATGTGTGTCTTTGAATTGAGCTAAGTCTTGTGGATCAAATTGTGCAAATATGACTTTTAGGTATATCAGGGGGCAAAAATGACTAGATAGAATGATGATGAGATCATTTAAGTTTGAGAGGGAAAAGATAAGTTGACTGAAACAAATATGTCATGATTCTACATTTAGATTTTCCCAAGTGGGTTATCTTATCAAATGTGCAATTATATAGTAATTTCAAGTAAGTCAAATAGGGAGGAAGTCAGAGAATCAATTCTACCAAAATTTATGTGAAGAATATCTGAATCCAGTAAGAACTAAATTCCCCCCCAAAAAAAAGAATAGTTTACTTTGGCAAGAAAATGACTTCCATAAATTGGGGTCTTTGTGAATATGAAGAAGTGTTTGTACTATGAAATTTTCAGCATGGTAAATTGAGTCACACTCAGATCCACATGAAACTAATTATGTAGCATTAGAAATGTGATGAAGTATGTCAAACTAATTCTGAATGCTTCAACTCATCATCACCATCATCTTAGAACAGGTTTGATGGATGATTGGTGAACCTTTTCCATAATTGAGATTTTTTGACTGTGATGTGCAGGCTCCTCAGAACCAGTAGATGTTACCACCCACTGCCCACAATGGCAGCAATAGCTTGGATGATTGAACATGGCCAGCTACTCTTCAAATAGATGTCCACCTGTGGGACCCCATGCCCTGAAACCCAAGCTCATAATTGCAGTAATTTACTTCTCTTGTCAAGTGGGACTCCATCTGAGCAAGGGCAATTGCTCCATGCCACTGAATCATTGACCTTAAAATATCCTCACATAGAAAAGCAAAAGCTCATTCATTGCATCTGTTCTCGAGAAGATTCCTGCTTCATATATGTCTTGCATCAGCCTATTCGTACAAAAGAGGTGCATAAAATAGAGGAAGAATTTGAAACCAAGGGAAAATTGTGACAACAACAGAGTCTTATGTTGCCCAGGGTATCTATCACCTTGTAGCTTTGGTTCTTTTCCAGTGTCTTCTTGTCATCTCCAAGTATAATAATGCACCTTCTCTGATATCTGACACTAGTCTTCCTCCACCATAAACAACCTGCAAGAGAATGCTATCTTGTTGCATATGGTATGATAAGAGTCTTCAAGGCTTTTATCATGGCATGTTTTACTTTTAGCATGTGAGGCCAAGAATCATGTAGAAATTGTCGTCGAGAGGATGAGAGGGATGTCTTGCATTCCTTTCTCCTTTCTAAGATTTAGTAAGCATTTCTTTTCAGACTACCACATCCCCCTTGCATTATTTCCTAATCAGAAAGTATTGTAAGGACTGACATGAAATCTTTTTGAGAAAAGCAAACAACAAAAGAATGAGAAGATAATTGGTGAGACTTTTAAGTGACCACTCATCTGATCTCCATCTGCGGAGATCAAACAGTGGTTATGAGTCTTAATTGCTAGAATAAAATACATGATTCTTGGCCTCACATTCATTCTTGCAATCTGCTCTCTGATCTTACTGATTGGCTATGGTTTGCAGCAGGCAACTACACTGTTAACACCATAAAGATTGATTCCATGAGTTAGGCCCTTCCAAATGCCTTCCGATATCGATCTTCTCCACAAGTCAATATCATGTTAGTTTCTTGAATTGTTTCAGCAGATTTATTATAGGCTTCCTAGATGAATAGAGTACTGCAATATGCAGCAATTACAGTTTTGTTGAACCCATTAAATCTGCAGTTGTTATGTAGCTCTCATCCTTATGATTCAAAATGAATTGTTTCAGCAGATTTAGTATAGGCTTCCTAGATGAATAGAGTGCTACAATATGCAGAAATTACAGTTTTGTTGAACCCATTAAATCTGCAGTTGTTATGTAGCTCTCATCCTTATGATTCAAAATGTTGATGCTGCAACCAACAAAGTATCAATTCAACTTTTCTTCTTATGATTGTAAAGGACCCTAACACAGTAACTACAGTGTGCCATGGATTGTCTTTTGTCTGCATGGGTCACCCTTGCAGAGATCCTATTCCTTTTTTTTTTCTTGTTTGGTGATAAGACATGGTGCTTCAGTAGGGACAGTCTTTTCATGTGGCAAAACACTAGTTCTCATAATCATTTATATTATCCTGTATGGAACATGGATTAGACCAAATCAGGGTGCAGTTTCTCCACACATTGGAGGGAAAACAAAATGATTTTTAGCAGCTGATAGGTGCCAAATCCCAGTCTGTTAACTAGCTCACTGATGACAAAGATACTTCAGCTTGCTCATCTTCAAATTGGATTATGGATTAACATCTACAATTATTGATCAACATTTTCCTATTGTTTTACAACCATTCATTCACATGGAAGATGTACACATAAATAAATCAAACAATGACAAGACAAGATTGCTCTGCTTCCATAGCCACACAAGACCAGATTGATTTGCTTCCTTCAAACTATTACATTTGATGAGTGAAGACTTATATGTTTTTTTTGTGAATTTCAAGTGATCCAATTATCACCTTTATACATTGCCTGCAATATATATATAAATATAAATATATATATATATCATAAAGTCAACATTACCTGTCAAATCTGTTGACATCAATCAAGGTACTGGAACCCAGTAGAAAACAATATAAAAGCAGTGCTGGGGAGCAACACCTGGCCCAGGCTTCTCTTTCTGCCATCAGCCCCTTGAGCTGCATGCCTTCTCCATCATGCTTTCATCATGATGAAGAGTATCACAAACCAATCACCAGCCATCCACAGAAACCTACAAAACTGGGATGTATCTGAATTGGGCAACCATTAGTCCCAAAAATTAAACTATAAGAAAATGATACAATTCATATTAAATTCTAATATTCTATTTCACATTGAAGTTTCTTCATAAAATAGAAAATCACCAATATAAGATTTAAAATCATAATTAAAAAAAATGATTGGATGAATATAAAGGATTCAATTTAAAATTTTCCTTCTCCCTTCCTCCATTACAAATTTATACATCTGATTCTCTGAGGTGATAAGGATTGTGAACAAACTTATATTGTGTAGGGGATGAAATAGGCAACCACATATATTGTTCTGGTTCTTTTCATGGAGGATAAACATCTTACCTTCAGGAGAAATTTATGTGAGTTAGGTTGAGTCAATGTAACATGCAGAAATATGCAGAGATGTATAGATTGTAATTGACTTTTAATATCCTTTAAAAGCATTGTTATGATGGTCTGAATTTTAACAATCTTTTTATGTGTTTTAACATTTTTATTTTTTATTTGCAACTAGCAACCATAGGGATATATGTGGAAGATGTTAATACTTGGAGGGCTCTATTACAATTTTGTAGGAGTTTCATGAGAAGTGCATTATGGATTGGGATGCCTCTTGCTAAATTGCATCATGGACGCAGTTTCATATGAGCCAAAAGAAGGAATCATAGTGGTTAATATTCATGCGTAGTATTGCATCGATTGGGTTTATATTTGTGTTTTTCTGAAACTGAAGAGTTTATATATAATTCCACTGCAAGATTGTCAAAGGCACCATATTGTCAAAAACTTTTCCAGATCATGGAAATTCTTCAGGCAATTAACTACTCGCTTTCTCTTTCCAACTCTAGCATTAATGGATTTTATAGAACCTAATAAGAGCTCCTTTGCGCGCGCGCGCGTGTGTGTGTGGATGATCAGATTCTGATAGGATTCTGGGCAGGAAAGGTTTGGTGCAGTAGGGAAACCATGTATGAAAGAGATGGTATCCTTGCTTGGTTGTTTGTCTTTGAACAAGAACAATGACGATAAGTGTGTGAGACAGAAGGATCTCATGGTTGCCTGTGTGGAATCCCAGGAGCTCAATTCTTGTATCCGGCGCTCGACACCGCTACAGTTTATGTCATTATGTTGAATGTTTATTTCTATCATACATAAGATCTGTATGGTTTAATCAGCTTAAATGACTCTCTAAAATTTTACGAGGTGATTGTGAACTTTTTGGGTGCGTGTGTGTGTGAAAATTGTTGGATTGAATGTGTTGATGAGGTCTGAGAGAATTGGCCATCGTCTACTACTCATCATCCTTATCAGATAGATATAAGCATTGCTTTCTCTGTTGCATGGCCAGCATTAGTATTCATCATCCCTATCAAGGACGACTCATTATCTGCTATTATTTACCTTGGATGCTTTACGATGGCGATGGTGAAATCACAGTTTACTTTTTTTTTTGCAAAACTACTGCTATACGTAGGCTGTTGTTACGCTGAGGTTCTGATGCGGTTTAATTAAGCATAATTAGGAAATCTAGACGTGGGATTTGGGGTTGAATTTAGTGACCTGATGTGAATTTATTTGAATTTTAAATTTTGGTAGAATTTGGTAGACCTGATGTCACGTCTCCCAAAACAATCCCCATACTTAAAATCAAACTAATTTTATTTCTATTTGATCAAAACATTATCAGACTTGCAAATTTCGTGTTCAAACCCAAATCTCACCAGCATTTTAGCATAACATAAGCTAGTTTGGAAAAATGCATTTACCAGTATCTTACATTTGATATTCTTATTATTATAACACAGCTTCTAAAGGAGTATAAATGTATCGACAAAAGGCAAACTATAGTCAAACTGATTATGATCAATTATAAGGTATAAACTTATATGAACAGTATTAATATAATAATATAAGAACAACAAATATTGATATCTTATTGGGGCTTTAAGAAATAATAAAAAAATTTCCTTAAAACAAAAATGACTGACAGAATCAGAAAGGAATAAATTGGATTTATCACCGATCGAAAAAGAAATCTCACTCAATCAACTTCCTCGATCTTGGGGCCTGCGCCACCACCGCCATTAGATGGACCCTCTTCTTCGTCCATGCCACCGGCCATACCGCCGCCGGCACCTTGGTACATCTTCGCAATGATGGGATTGCACAAGTTCTCCAGCTCCTTCATCTTGTCCTCGAACTCGTCGACTTCGGCCAGCTGGTTGGCATCGAGCCACTGGATCGCTTGGTCGACTGCATCTTCGATCTTCTTCTTGTCGGCGGCCGGCAGCTTCGACGCGATCTTGTCGTCCTTCACCGTGTTCCTCATGTTGTATGCGTAATTCTCCAATGCGTTCTTGGCCTCGACCTTCTTCTTGTGTTCCTCATCCTCCGACTTGTACTTCTCCGCCTCCTGCACCATCCTCTCTATCTCCTCCTTGCTCAGCCTTCCCTTGTCGTTGGTGATGGTGATCTTGTTCTTCTGCCCGGTGGTCTTGTCTTCCGCTGACACGTTCAGGATGCCGTTGGCGTCGATGTCGAAGCACACGGTGATCTGAGGCACGCCCCTGGGAGCAGGGGGGATGCCGGAGAGTTCGAATTTGCCGAGCAAGTTGTTGTCTCTGGTCCTGGTCCTCTCCCCCTCATAGACCTGGATAAGGACTCCGGGCTGGTTGTCCGAGTAGGTGGAAAAGACCTGCTCCTTCTTGGTTGGGATGGTTGTGTTTCTCTGAATCAGCACAGTCATGACTCCTCCCGCCGTCTCGAGCCCGAGCGAGAGCGGAGTGACGTCCAACAAGAGCAGGTCCTGTACCTTCTCGTTGCCCTCGCCACTCAGGATGGCAGCTTGGACTGCAGCGCCGTAGGCGACGGCCTCGTCGGGGTTGATGCTCTTGCACAGCTCCTTGCCGTTGAAGAAGTCCTGCAGCAGCTGCTGCACCCTCGGAATTCGGGTGGATCCACCGACGAGGACCACGTCATGGATAGTGCTCTTGTCCATCTTCGCATCCCTCAAACACTTTTCCACGGGTTCCATGCACTTCCTGAATAGATCCATGTTCAGCTCCTCGAATCGGGCTCGCGTGATGGTGGAGTAGAAATCGACGCCCTCGAAGAGGGAGTCGATCTCAATCGTGGTTTGAGCTGTGGAAGACAGAGTCCTCTTCGCCCTCTCGCAGGCTGTCCTCAGCCTCCTCAATGCCCTTGGATTCCCACTTATATCCTTCTTATGTTTCCTCTTGAATTCTTGGACGAAATGGTTCACCATGCGATTGTCGAAGTCTTCTCCTCCGAGATGGGTGTCTCCGGCGGTAGCTTTCACCTCAAAGATCCCCTCTTCGATGGTAAGGAGCGAGACGTCGAACGTGCCGCCGCCAAGGTCGAAGATGAGGACGTTCTTCTCCCCGGCACTGCTCGCCTTCTTGTCGAGGCCGTAGGCGATAGCAGCAGCAGTGGGCTCATTGATGATGCGCATGACGTTAAGGCCCGCGATGACGCCGGCATCCTTGGTGGCCTGGCGCTGCGAGTCGTTGAAGTAAGCGGGGACAGTAACCACAGCGTTCTTGACGGTAGAACCAAGGTAAGCCTCTGCGATCTCACGCATCTTGATCAACACCATGGAAGAGATCTCTTCCGCAGCGAATTGCTTCTCCTCACCCTTGTACTGGACGACAATCATGGGCTTGTCCGCGGCGCCGGCAACGACCTTGAAGGGCCAGTGCTTGATGTCACTTTGAACAGAGGGATCATTGAACCGCCTTCCAATCAAACGTTTTGCATCTGAATGTTCACAATACAACAGGATTCTAACGTTAGTTCTCAAGGATTACAGAACACTAAATTGCATCACAAGCCTATCAGGAAGTGAAGGTGTTCGATGAAATAACAACACTGATTGATCTACCATTAGCTATCTTGAAGCACATCCCAATCGAACACAAAAAGACAACCATATGCCTAACTTTCCAGCATTAAGGACTCAAAGGCTTAATAGATCAAATTTATACAGCTCTAGACTCAAAATTAAACCTTCCACAAAGCATTGCGTGTCCATCGCGATATAAGAAATATCACATGGACGATACCACGATCGAAGCAGGAAGACAAACTAATCAATTTGGAAGCACTACGATTCATAAAAGCCAACATCAGATCCGCTCTCCCCAAACGTAATGCCTCAAACGAAAGGCCTTTTAACAACATCGCAAGGAGATTAGCATGTATCATCATAGATGAGGGGCACTCACCGAAGACGGTGTTGATGGGGTTCATTGCCACCTGATTCTTGGCGGCGTCTCCGATGAGACGCTCGCTGTCGGTGAAGGCAACGTAGGAGGGGGTGGTGCGGTTGCCCTGGTCGTTGGCGACGATCTCCACCCGGTCGTGCTGCCACACACCGACGCACGAGTAAGTGGTGCCGAGGTCGATCCCGATCGCCGGCCCCTCGCCCTTCCCGGCCATCTTGTCTCGCCGATTGGATTGCGCGCAAGAATCAAATAGAAGAAGATGAGAAATCGAGAGCAGCGGATTATGCGAAGGGGAAGGGGATGTGAGGACTATTTATAGTGAAGGGGTATGGGTGTTTCTGGAATGTTCTGGTGACCTCTCGACCCCTAATTTGAATGCGATATTGTTGCGGAAGGGTTGAACAAATCAAGTTGAAGAGGCTAACTGTTTTCATATTTCAATTCTTAACCATTTTGAATAATAAAAATATTCGGTGGGACGTTACCTTCTTTACCCCTCTTCTTAAATTAGAATTACTTTCTCATATTATTATTTTATTCACGGATGATAATCCTAATCCTTCGATTCGTCTCAAACCTTCAAATTCGAAAAATGAGATTAGCACCTACGCTAAACCTTATTAGCCTCTCAAGAAAGAAGAGGCTCGTGTCTCCTCACCTACGCTAAACACGTCGATGTATTAGGTAAGTCTGCTAAGGAAAGCTTGTGACATTAGCACCCAAAGACCCTATGTTATTCTCAAAGCAAAATTATAATAAAACAGGAAGATTTTAATTGAAAAAACTATATTGTTTAAAAATATCTCATCTTATTGATCTCAATAAATATATTTGTGGGATTTATATTTGAGTGTTATGTTTCATGAATAAGACGTATATCGAACTTCTTTTTAATATTTTTAAGTATTGGACTCGTATATCAAAAATCGATATCTATTTATTCTTAATAAAAATAATAGAAGATAATAATAATTATTGTAGAAGCTTATTTAAGTATTTTAGCTTGAATACCTTTATTCTGTTGAGGAAAATCTTTTCTCCTAAGCTTATTCAGATTAGGAGAAAAGATTTTTCTCAACAGAATAAAAAATTTTTCTCAGATTTCAAGAACACATATATTATCATATTTATTGATTAAATAAATGATACTAACGAAAGAAAAATTCATAGTACTCTTTGTAGTTGGCTGCAAGGTATGCGACGATTAAGTGTTCAGACAGTTGTTTTTACCAAAGAAGTCATCAATGAATTCAATAAGTGCCTATAATTCAAATTAGTTTATTCGTAGTGCATCGCACAGGTTGGAATCATTGCATAACTTTTTGTCATAATAATGCGTTTCCTATTTAATTTATTTTTCTTAAGCACGTTCCGATGCCATGGAGGCCTGCGTCCTCAAGCTTCAAAATTGCTCCCGAATGAAAATTAAAATTCAAAATATGAATAATTATTCAATGTATTTACTTGTATTTATTATTTTATTTTAGTTACTATTTGTTGTTAAATTCCATAAAACGCCAATCAAATTAATCTCAATTTTCTTTTATTTTAGTCATCGAGTTATTATTTTATTAAAAAATCAAATTTATAAGAGTTTTTTTTTGAAAGAAAGTTTTTATTTTAATTATTATAACTGAAAGCCACACAGCTGTATCCTGCTGCGGTGTGAGCGTTCACTTTGGAACGTTGAATCCGCCCTGTTGACTGGGAATTCACGTGTTTAATTGGATCGTCTCCAAAAGGTCGTCCGCCTGAGCAGGATCTACCCGTCGATTCTAGAATCTCACATCAAGCAACGATAAGGATATGGACGTTAAAGTTTTTATTTGAAATCCTATTTGAAGAGGATCCGTCTTGCCACTGCCGCACGCGAACCGTTTTATGCGCCGCTTTGCAGACGGCGATGCGTTCACACGGACTTCGAGTCCGATTCCTTCTCGTCTAAGAAACAGCTAATCCCGACCGTCCATTCCAATTTGGTCGGGTGGCACCCACGAAGCCGCCCGAACATTCTAGAACCCTGAAATGCTCTTTATAACCACTCCCCTCTCGCTTCCATCGTCTCCTCCATTCTCACGCAAACCCTAGCGCCTCTCACGCCTCCTCCTCAACCGCGGCTCTCGTCCTAGATCTCTAGAGAAATGGCCGGTAAGGGTGATGGGCCGGCGATCGGGATCGACCTCGGCACCACCTACTCCTGCGTCGGGGTGTGGCAGCATGACCGGGTGGAGATCATCGCCAACGACCAGGGCAACCGCACCACCCCCTCCTACGTCGCCTTCACGGACACCGAGCGGCTCATCGGTGACGCCGCCAAGAACCAGGTCGCCATGAACCCTATCAACACTGTTTTCGGTGAGTATGCCCCTCGAGATCGCTTGATGATTCTTGAGATGGCTTACGTATGGTGATTTGGATCTGTGCTTTATATTCTGAACGATGTTAGCACTAGGTTTTCGTTATCATTCATTATTGATGAAAGATCTATGATTAATTTTGCTCCATTGGGCTTACTTGCACTAGATCTGGCTAGATCTGGAATCATTAGCTATTATTTTGTGATCGTTTACAATCGTGAGTTTGATCTGGCTGTTATGTGATATGTTTGCTTGGGTATGGTTCTTCTCTTTGGAGACGTTTTGGGTATGCTTGCTCGCAAGAACCAAATTATTAGAACCCTTCTTTCATTGGTTTGAATGTTTTCTGGTACATCTTTTGTAGTAGTTATGAGGTTTGTGACTAGATAACTCGCCAAGGAAATAAAGCAGACTATGTAGCTTCGAGTCAACAGATCATTTGCCTTTTGATACTTGCACCGTTTGTTATACAGAGCTTCAGGGATTTGGATATGGGTTGAGTTGCTGTGTTACCTGGATTTTGAATGTGCTCATGTACTTGAGGCCTCTGTGATAGTGTCTTTGATGCTACTTACAAGAGAAGAAAGCACACTTTTATATTGGTTTACGATAGCGCTAACTGGGATAAGGGTATTATCTAATAGATGTTTTTGCAGCAGAGTGGGGAAGGAAATAAAGATATGCTTGGGATAATAGCAGAAAATTCATGAAAGGAAGAAGAACCAGTGAATATTAGCTTATTAATCTACTGCATGATACTTTAGAACTATTACAAAAAGTTTGCTTGGATTACTCTTTCGCACTTCCTGTATATCAGCTAGTTGGCGGTTTGACTTGGTCCTACTTGTCATAATCATGACAAAGAGAAATCAATAGCTGAACTCTCTTTGCTTTGTTCTTTTTCTTACAGAAAGCTAAAATAGGTATGGGTCTTTTAGGTATTAATACGAGCTTATGAAAATAAATAGTCAGAATGATTTCAATAGGATTTGAAAAACATAATTTGAAAGTTTCCCAAGCACTAGTTTTAAAATGATTCAATAGGTCATATAGTGAACGACTGTAAAGGCCATTGTAAATTGTTATTAATGCTTGAATTGTATGTTCAAGGCAGTGCCATTTGGAGTTCATGAGCTGAGAAATTTAGTCAAGAGGTGCTAATTCTAGGACAAAACAGTGGTACATATGTGTACTCTTCCGAGATGCTATTGTATAACATTTAACCTGTATATGCTGACTTAACTTGATAACCCCAAATTAATTATGAAACCACAAGCAATCACCAGTTGGCATCCAACTGCTCTTCCTTGTTTGTAGAAATAGCAGATTTGTAATTCTCTCATTTATAGGCATAACATGTAGCCATGTGTTTCATTTTAGCCTGGAGTTCTCCTTTGACAATATAGCCATCCCTACCCTACCATCCAATCCCACAAACCTCTTATGAATTCATGTTTGATCACAGCAGAGGAGAGGCAAAGGCCTCTACCTCAGTGTCCTGGTTATTCACAGAACACGAGAAGCAAATGAAAAAAATATCATCTTCTCTCTGAAGAAGTCAAAGAATTTCTTAGAAAATTCTGCACGATCAATTGATTCCAAACCAAGGATTCTTGTTTTTTTACATCCAAATGGCTCCACATGTTTTATTTACTTTCATTATTTTTATAATCCAGTAATCTTATGTTCTTGTTGATCTTATTTTTTGCTTCTTTCACTTGTGCTCAAGTATGATTTGTTCTCACTTTTACTTTGGTGCAGAAGTCTTGACTATAGGCAATAATTAATTTTTTATTATGTTTCCTTGCTTCATGGCTATATAATGCTTTCTTTAATGCTAGAACCATATAATTCGTGGTTCTTCAAGGATATCTTTTATCATGGTTTTGAAACAAACTCATTTCATGTGCTGTGGTAATGAATTAGTTGCTGCAAGTAAGGTTGTGATGTCAGTTTCTTCTTATGTGCAACTACAATTTTGCCAAGATTGATTTAGCCATGAAACTCTAGAATGCTTGTTGTCTCTTGTCTGCTTCTTTCTGGCCAGTCTAATGCTGTATTCATAAAAAAAAGTTTTTTTATTGGATAACCTCTAACAGATGCGGCTATCTTCCTCTCAAGTTACTAAATACAGTAACAGTGTCTAGAATCTTTGATAATGACAAGGAAATGCTTGGCAGTCCAATTAATATTGATAAAAGAGTTTTGCTTGTTGGCACTCATTTAAATGCTTAATGGTTCATATTTGCACGTTCTATTGCATTGCTTAGTTTGCCCATTTTGGCATGTGAAAGATTGCTTTACCTATTTTATTTTCTTAGAAACCTTTAGTTGTTGTTACTTTGAAAGTGTAGTGGCTCATATGTTCCTTCTCCTTCCAGATGCAAAGCGATTGATTGGAAGGCGATTCACCGATGCATCTGTCCAGAGCGACATCAAGCTCTGGCCTTTCAAGGTCACTTCTGGTCCAGGTGACAAGCCTATGATTGCTGTCCAGTACAAGGGGGAGGAAAAGCAGTTTTCTGCTGAAGAGATTTCTTCCATGGTCTTGATGAAGATGAAGGAAATTGCTGAGGCATACCTGGGATCTGTCGTCAAGAATGCTGTTGTCACTGTTCCTGCTTACTTTAACGACTCACAGCGCCAGGCCACTAAAGATGCTGGTGTCATTTCTGGTCTTAATGTTATGAGGATTATCAATGAGCCCACTGCTGCTGCTATCGCTTATGGTCTTGACAAGAAGGCTAGTAGTGTTGGTGAGAAGAATGTCCTCATCTTTGACCTTGGTGGTGGCACCTTTGATGTCTCTCTTCTTACAATCGAAGAAGGTATTTTTGAGGTCAAGGCTACTGCTGGTGATACTCACCTTGGTGGTGAGGATTTTGACAACCGAATGGTAAACCATTTTGTCCAAGAGTTCAAG